AAGCTCAGCACCCGCCTACTTCCACTCACTACTACGAATCTACATCCCCTCCAGAAGTCTGAGATCCGCTAATGAGTGACGCCTCGTGGTACCATCACAGAGAGGCTCAAAATCACTTTCCAGAACATTGAATGCTGAATCCCTGACAATTTTAAAGCGTCAGCTGAAAACTCACCTCTTTCGTCATTATCTGACTTCATCCTAATAAAAAAAAAACCTTTTTCTCTTTTCTTTAATCTTTCCCTGTCTAGCTTGTACTTATTTGAACAATGCTTGAAACTTGGTATTACGAGCACTTCCTGTGTCTATTTGCCTCTTTAAGATGAATCGCTTAATGTATTCCCCAATTGTAAGTTGCTTTAGAGAAAAGCATCTGCTAAATGAATAAATGTAAATGTAAAAACACTGGCAGCCTGCTTTGAAGGGCTTGAGCACCTAAAGTGACAAAACTGCAGCACTTGGTTATAATAAACAGTGCTGTGGACGCTTATATAGTTATAGTTATAGTTATCATTCTTGGTGTGAACAGGCCTTTAGCCACAATATTTTTACACAGTGTATGTAAAAATTCAATTATTTGTTTAAAAAAAATAAATGTGTGAATAGCTTCACAGCAAATATTTGTCAGGCCATAAGTCTCCTGAGCAACACAACATATTAATGTCAATATCAATGGCATCATCATCCAGCTTGTCACAGTCACCAACCCTGACATAACTGTTTAGTGCAGTAACTCTGATGAACATGTATGATTTAAAGGTGCACACACACACACAAACACACCTGCTCCTGTCAGTTAATGAGCATGTAGGTAAGTTTATGAACTTTACAGGGGAAAATTGGGCCAGTTGATGTCAAAATAAATCTATAACGCTTCTCTCCAGCCCTGATGAAACAGAATAGCAAAGTGTGAGGTTTGAAGTTTCACCACTGAGACTTCTGATATAAACAAGCATTGAGAATCCCCTCTGATAAGCCAACTGGCTGGAGGATACACACACACACACACACACACACACACACACACACACACAAACATATACACTCACCCAAAACACCCTCAGACTCTCGGATGAAAACTTTGGATTTTATGAAATCTATTAAAACGAGTTATGATATGATTGTCAGCAATCTCTCTGCTGCATAGGTCAAAAAAATAATATAAATCTGTACGATAAATCACTAAACCTAGCCATAGCTCAGAGAGCTCGTTTTAATTCATTAGGAATGTAAATTAGGATTCATATTCTTTTAAACAGGCAAACATTTTAAAATATGTTTCAAAAAGTCTCTAGTGCACCTCCTTTTACACCTTGAGCTGTGGAGGGCAGTGCATGATTGAGTGCAGTTTGTGTCATTTCTGAACAAACCAAGACAAGACAGAACAACAAAACAAACAAAAACAGAACAGAACAAAACAAAACTAATACAAGTTTTGTTTTGTGCATGTTTTTTGTTGTTGGTCAAATTAAATCATTTTGCACTCTCAACCTTTCTTGCATTATTTTGTTTTTTTTTATAATGAGCTGGTAGTTATAGTTGAGTTGATCAGCATTTTGTTGTACACTGACTTGCATTCAGCACTGCAACATAATCTGTCAGAAACAGAACCTGCTGTCAAAGGTTAAAGACGATCATCTACTGGTGTTTATTCACAGAGTGCATGTGTATGCGAGTGGATAGTCACTCAAGAGTCGTGACTTAAGGAAGGTGAATACAATGCTTGCACACACCATAACACAACATCACTGGGACAGGCCGTAGGGGACCTAGTGTACAGAACAAACAGACACCTAAACACACAATCATGCAAAAATACACTATGATAACATACAAAGGAAACAAACACAATGAACACACCCTCACTCACCCAGTCCATTGTCGACTCTGTCTGTAGTCTTTCCTGACTCTGTAGCCTCTGTATGCTGTAACAACATATTCACACGATCATACAATGAATAAAATAACACAAATCACAATTTACTAGCTTTATCATCTACAAAGAGATAATTATAAATATGACTGCTTAGAAATGTAACAGCACACCAATTGAGGAATCTGTAGCACAAAAGGTGCTCTAAAGATTAACACAGAGAGTGGGTTTGTCCAAATCACGAACACTAAGTTTGAGCAATGATAATGGTGATGTTTGCAAACTCCATTAATAAAATAATCCCACAAATTAGTATGACTAATAGCAATTTTTTTATTTTTGGTTGTATCGAATGTAATGTAAAAGTTTCCTACTTGTATACATAGATTCGGATAAACCGTTTCCTCTGATCAGACACACTAAGTGAATGTTTAGGATAAAAACACAATGAGCTGAGTGAGTAATTAGTACTTTATCACTCATACAAATGAGTGTAAACCCCAGAACACATGAAAGCAGCAGCGCTGCTCTAAAATGCTAAATCAGTCATTTAATCCACTTTCAATGAGACGTCCAATTAAAACTTACAAAACTTTAGCTTTAATCAGAGCAGATCAGGGTGTGAACTCAAACACACAAACCACTGGGAACAGTGTGGAAGTGGATAGTTTGCCATGTGTTATGTTCAGATGTATATTCATCCAGGAGTGTGTTTCTTGTACACATCGTAACTTACTGCTTAACCACGGTATGCATCATAGTAGAAACTAACTTGCTAGTCACAACTGTTTCCTGTACAGTTAATTTACACAACAGAAAATTGTTCATTTTTTAACCACGTTAACATGCAGTATGTAATTGATGTACACTTTACTCCCATATACTGTAATTAAATGTCGTCAGCAGCTTTCTCCACGACATAATTTCTCTGAGATGCTGCTCTATTGAACACATCACCTGAGGAGTACCTCGCTATTTTTTGTTCCCTGTCGTTTCGTTTTATTAGTGTTTGATTCATCTTGAGTTTCCTCATGTCACACTCCAGGACTCCCTTACACATTTACACACCTCCTCAAGAACACTGCTGATTGTTGACATACTTATACAGAATGTGCTGCATGCTGGCTTGCTTACTGTGCCCATATCATACTAACAACAAACTACAAACAACTTTATGATGGTGTTTGAGAATGTTTGTTGGACTTATGTTTTTTTGGAAACAAAACTCGCAATGACAAAACTTGCATATATAGTAGGCTAACAATACTTTTGGGAAATACAACACAGGATGCAAATTATGGAACACCGCTTGAACACTTCGCATTAATACCATAATTATATTGCAAGTATAAAAACCTTATGTTGGACATGAACAATTGTAACAACAGTTATAAGACATTATAATGCTTAACTATTTGTGGTTAAACTTTTAAGAGTATGATGGTTTAATTATAACACATGATGAACAGACACCATGTCATATTCACTACACAATTTATAATGGATTATAGTTCCCCTAGCTACAAGTCTCAGTCATATTGAAACTGTTTATTTAAAATCTGCACAGTATCTTACTACATCTTATGTTTACTGTAAAGTGAGAAATGCAAAGTCTTCTTGAAAAAATCCAAAAGGCTTTACAATGTGGTAATTATATTTGTACTGTAAGTCGTCTTTATCTGTTTTTTTTAGTAGCCATAAGTTATCATGAATGTGCTGTATGACACATTTGCACATGTATTGTAAATTCAACAAAACCATATTGCATTGATTCAGATTTAAATGCGTTACCAGTGAGCTTAAAGTAGCTCACAGTGAAGTAGTTGTTCATACTCAAATATGAACAACCACTCCAAACCACTCATAAGATGTAGGGAGATACTGACAATGACAATTTAAGTGACTTATAATACATTATAACTATAAGACCTATAATCCATTATAACTTAAGTGGATATAACATGGTGTTTATAATGTGTTATAAAATTACCACACTCCTAAAAATTATAACTACTAATACGTAAGTATTATAATGTATTATAACTATTGTTACGATTAATCATTAGACAATAAAACTAATTATAAGGTGTTTTTATGAGGCAATGGATGCATTATAATGCCTTAGAGAGATTCACCCAAAAATGAATTCAATTAATTCTGTCATCAATTATTCCTCTCATGCCTTTCCAAACTTGTATGAGTTTCTTTCTTCTATGGAACAAAAAACAAGATATTCTGAAAAATGTCATGGTTCCATTGACGTCCACATTATAAAAAAAAAAAAAAAGAAACCTGAAACTGTTTGGTTAGTGACATTCTTCAAAATATCTTCATTTTTTTCTGAATACAGGTTTAAAATGCATACAGGTCTGGAATGACATGAAGTGAGTCAATGATGTTTTGACTACCATTATAAAACATAATAAATACGGGCCTTATAAAATCTTTCATATAGCTGCCATTTACTGTAGTTTTGCTTGTGCAAGATAAACCTCAAAACACAATGCTCACCAGTAATTTCCTATAGATATCTTATATGGATATAGAAAACATTTTCCCTACTGAAAGCCACTGTTTAATTTGCAAACTGTGCTCAGCATATTCTCAGCCTATGGATCTCAACCGTTTGAAAGACGAGTGTTTGTTTTAGAAATGCTAATGCGGCCCACCTCAAAGTGGATGCACACACCTCTACACGGCTCTGAACATGTGGCCAAACACCGCGCCACCTGCACCAGCGCACACACTGCGAGCACAGAGCCAGAGAGAGACGTCTGCCAAAAAGGGGAATTGAAGTACTCCAGAAGAGGAGAGGAGAACAATAGCACCACTCCTCCCTCTCCTTCCTCCCCCTGGACCCCTGCCTCCGCCCCTCCCTCCTCACACCCTCAGAAGACGCGCCCCGAGAAGGTTAATACGCCCGCTTTGATCTCCGTCAGGCCACACCAAGTAAGAATTAATTTACATTTCAGATGAAAAGGGTGACAGTATAAAAAGCCATCTTGTTTCTGGTATGTGAGAGTCTGTAATGGGCCGGGAATGTGAGGGGGAAGTGTCAGGGAGCCCCCATCCCTCTCTCTATCGCTCTCTCTCTCCGCTCCTGCACTGGGAAACAGATGAAAGCAAAGAGAGAAGCTCAAAATGCAGCATTCTACTGAAACATGGGGAGCAAATGCTGCGACCCAAACTTGCAAAAGAGACGCTGGCTTCACACATTATTAATTTAGCAGCACTGGTTTGTGGGATTGTTTGTTGAGATCAAAAAAGGTACTTTGTGAGAATGCTGGAGTTTATGATTGGAAGAAAAATAAAAAAAAATGCAAGTTTGGAGAGGTTTGGAAAGACAGAAAGAAAGAGCTTTTTCTTTCTTATTTTTCCAAATGGTCCAGTCAACTTGATTAATATATTTGGTTTATGTTTAATTACACTAACATTCAAAAGTTTGGGGGCAGTATGATTTTTTTAATGTTTCCGAAATAAACTTTTATACTCACCAAGGCTGCATTTATTTGATCAAAACTACAATAAAGACAGCAATGTTGTGAAAAAAAAATACAGTTAAAAATAACTGACTTCTGTTTGAATATATTTTAAAATGTAATTTATTCATGTAATGGGAAAGCTGCATTTTCAGCATCATTACTCCAGTCTTCACATGAAACATTTCTGAAAACAGTTGTGCTGTTTAATATTTTTTTATGGAAACTGCGATACATTTTTTTTTTTTTTGGTTTATTAATAGAAAGTTCAAAAGAACAGAATTTATTTGAAAACATTATGCATGTAACATTATGAATGTTCACTGTCACTTTTGATCATTTGAATGCACTCTTGCTAAATAAACATTAATTTCTTAAAAAAAATAAAAAACATTAATAAAAACCTTACAGACCCAAACTTTTGAATGGTGTCTAATGGGGTATGTATCATTTTTGTATAATATTAAATAATATAATATAACTAATATAAATATTTAAATATTCAGTGTCTTTTGAGTCAAAAACAATTATTTCTTCTAGTTCTTGTTTGATTTTCATAATTTCTATTATACTTTATTTTGCACTTTTCCCTTGTTTGCAGTTCAGATGCAATAGCATTACAAATGAGTGTTGTTTGTCATGCCAATAAATCACACTACACTGAAATTGAGAGACACAGAGAGAAAAAATAAAGGAAATTAAAGTAAAGAGTAGAATTTCTCCAGGGAATGTTTCCACAGTATTGTGACATTAGTTTTATTTGAGTTGCACAGAGCGTTCAGAGATGTGTACCTGACTGGATCCGTACAGCAGCCTGCTCACGCTCTCTCTTTATCTGCTTCAGATTGTGACGGGCCACGTAACCCCTCCAGGCTACACAGAGACACAAAGAGAGACATGAGGGGATTAAAACACAAAATACTAGTTTATAGTAGCAAACAATTTCTAGTATTCATCACAGCAGTGTAATACAAACGGAGATCAACAATAATGATTTTTTTTCAACTAGTATTACAGATTTTTTCTCATTCTCACAACATTCTCACTGGATAAACAGTCACAAATATAAACTGTGTTTATTTTTGGGGTCAGTAAAATTCTAATTTAAAAGAAATTAATAATTTTATTCAGCATTAGAGTAATCAAGAGTGACAGTAAAGACATTTTTTTAAATATTTATATTTCAAATAAATGATGTTCTGTCATAACTCTTGGAGGGATTGGCATGGTAATAATGTACATGACAATGTTAACGTATTTGGTCTTGGCGGAATAGATCTGCTACACTGCTGCTGCTGCTGCTGCGGCAGAGCAAGTACCGAGACTAGCTACTGCCAATACATCCACAACATGCTGCTGTGAGCATGTACTATTGCTGCTGCAAATATAACATACATGAAATAACCCCCATATAGCATACATGAATCACCTCGTAGCATCTCTATACAGGTGGAGCTGGGGAAGGTGGAGGGTTTCTGAAGCACGCTGCAAACTGCTACATCAAGCACTAGTCATATATTTGAATGTTGAGCAGCGAGCTCATTGGCTACCGATACAGGAGAGAACCAATCAGCTGTGCCATGTGATAATGATGTCATTAGGTCAGATTGAGTTAGACCTATCGGACTGCGCCATCTAGAGTTTCATGCCAGAACTCTGTATTTCTTTTAAACTTTCTAATGATGAAAGAACCCTGTTTCCATAAAAATATTAAGCAGCACAACTGATTTCAACATTAGAATTTTCTTGAGCATCAGCATATTAGAATGATTTCTGAAGATCATGTGACACTGAAGACTGCAGTAATGATGCTGAAAATTCAGCTTTGCATCACAGGAATAAATCACATTTGAAAATGTATTACAATAGAAAACAGTTATTTGATTTTTTTTTTTTTTACCAAAATAAATGCAGCTTTTCTGAGCAAAAACATAAAAAGTTTTACCAACCCCAAAGTTCTGAACAACAGTCTATATAAAGCGAGTTGTTAAATTATAAACACGATTTTGCTGTAAAATGACATACAGTATAGTGCAGCCCATTTTTGTTTATCATTTTCCATCCATTCTAACCATATTTTGTCCTCTTTTATATTAGACAGATATATAACATTATTTTGGTTGCAGAAATAAATCGTCACACATGATCAACAAACGTAAAATGCATTGATCCTCTTAAACTAGCCTAAACATGAGCCCTGCACATGCATCTATTACTGTATCACAGTCATTTGGTAATGAGTCTGGGTTGCAAGAACCTGACTGTATGATAATCGCTCCGTTGTTGCGTTTCTCTCTCTGTTTTCGGTACCGCCGAGCTCCCAGCCAGCCTTTGGTGTAGGCCTGCATCAGCACCACCCGCGCGATCACCTCCCGCAACATCAGATTGAGCTGCTCCACGTGATAGTACTTCAGAAACACCTGCAAGACACAAACACACATCTATGCAGATGCAGGGAAGCATGCTCATACCTCACAATAAAAACACCACCTTCATGTGTCTGTCGGGGGACACGAAATCATCAAGGGGTTCAGTTTGAAAAAGGACACTTTGAACTTTTTCTTTTTTCCCCAGAGTTGCAGGTGCCAACCATCTGGTCAATTAGATTCACAGATAACTACCTTGACTTCTCAGACAGACAGAAGCGAGAGTGAGCGATTGTGAAAGAATGTGAGGAAAGAAACCATGACCTTGGCGCATAAATACTTTTTCTGCAAGCATTGGTCTGACAGAAATGCACTAAAGGAGAAAGCTTTTCTGTGCTATTAAAGGTAAATTAATAATAAATTACATATATCTATAGTAGACATCCCACTTAACCGTCTCTGAGGCACAAAGTCAGACATGTGTAGAGCTTGTTTAGTTAGTTTGGTCAATGTCCAGAGCTCTTCCTGCTCTATGCATTTTCTAGTAGACATTCTAACAGCTGTTATGAGCACAAAAATGAAAGCCTTTCAGTTGCATTGCTCTCAATGGAGGGTCAGAAAGCTCTTGGATTTCATCAAAAATATCTTAATTTGTGTTATGAAGATGAATGAAGGTCTTACAGGTTTGGAATGATATGAGGGTGAGTAATTAATGACATCATTTTCATTTTTGGGTGAACTATCCCTTTAAGTGCATCATTTGGTTGGGCACTTTTTCTTTTTGGAATTTTCAGTGTGAACACTCTACTCGCACTATTTATACTACAATACAGCATTAAAATAGTGCATAACTATGCAAACTGGGACGCATCTTATGTTTATGCACCGAGGCGTTTTTATTATAGGCGTAATTATTTTTATGCAGTACAGGGTACAATTTACTGGTAGTACAATAGTATGTTTAGTACTTTTTGTTGTTTTGCAAAACAACACACTAAATTGAAGAACACTAATGGAGAAAAAATGATGAACAGAAAATGAACAAAATATTTAAACGGGATGATGATGATAACTGTACCTTGGTCTTTCCCAGGACCCAGTTGTCCAGTTTGGCTCTCTGCAGTATAACGATGGCGTTCTCTCTACTGCCCTCTGGCATCTGATGGGCACGAAAGGCCAGATAGTAGTACCTGCAAGAAAATCAAAATTACGCATTACACCACTCAAACAGTGGAGAGTGCTAAGCACACTTAGGTTTCTTTATGAGCTCAAACGTTCATTAACTTTACTGATCATACTGTATCAAACAAAGTTGTATAGAGCAAATGTCTTAAATATCTTTTGATGCTTAAAATACAATCGACAGAAGTAAAAAACTAAACGAACTACGCCACCGTTGCATGTCTTCAACGTCAAAAAAATAAAATAATAATAATAATCACTCCTGCAGCACAATAACCTATTTTTTTTTTTCAACTTGACATCATTCACTAAATTTAGTACTACATACTAAACATAGCCAGTCCTTATTTTTGCAGTTCCGTCTGGTGCCACTAGTGCAGCAAAAATTGCACACTTCACCTTTAAGACCGTTTTGCACAGAACAAGATAAAAGACTATGGTCCAGATCACTCTAGATATTCCAATGATAACATCTTCCTGCTGCAAAAACCTCTGACAGTCAGAGCAGAAAGGTAAAGCGTCGCCTGATTCTCTGATAAATCACTAGATATGGGGCCATTGTTGCCTTGTTGTTATTGTCTGGGAGCCATCAGTTATACTTCTGAATATGCCTGCCTATAAATACACTGGCCTGAATCTCATAAATGAGTCTCATAGAAACATCTGAAGCTTGCGGTTGATCCTGGGTGCATTTACTCACTCTGAAGAGGAAGATATCAGCCTTTGTGTTTAAGAAAGAATACTGCCTTTGATTCCACTTGAACCGTGGTCTTTCATAATTATGCTCCTGATGGCTGTTATGTCTCGGGTTGAAAATACAAAGAGCTCTCCTTCACAAGGTTTTCCAAAAAGATCCGTTTGAATCCATACAGAAACTGGTTTTACGGAGCTGGTGTCAGTGCGGATCAGGAACAGCTCCAGACGTTGTCCGACGAAGGAAACGCAAACAGAACGGTCACAGAGTACTTATTTTTTTTTAATGCCAACTGGTCGGGGACGTCTGGGGAAAATACGGATAATCAGGACACTTCTGTGATCAAAAGGATGACGGGAAAAAAAGCCGGCGAGGCTCTTGCGTCTGAGCGGCCCCTCTGAGCGCAGAGAAATTGTCTGGGATGTTTATGTAAAAGAGATGACCTACATGTCCACCGTCTCACGGCCCACGAGAGAAAGAGATGGATGGCTTGAAAGAAAGCGCAAGAAAGAGAAAAGTTTATGGAAAATGAAGTGCGATTCCCAAAAGCCTCGGAAAAGTAAATTTGGACCATGAATTTCCACGGCGCTGAGAAACTTTCAGCGGATTCACTCCGCCCCTTCAAAGTACCACTTCAGCACTAATTACTCAGCCAGAGTCTAATTTAGCATCACTTGTATTCTCAGAGGCTTAATGACCTATTATTGATGAGATTATGGTCTTCGTTCAGAGCTGTCAAAATATATAGATAATAAACCTGCAACGTGAAGTTTCCCAGGAGCTTTAGTGAGCACTAGAGGAGGTGGGTCTATTCAATATGCGCTCATAGAGCTTTGATCTCTCTAACTGTCTGTCTGTCTGTCTGTCTTTTTTCCTTCTTTTCATGAAGCCCAAGAGCTTCGGCTAATTAAATCTAATAACATTCCTGTGGTCCAACAGGAACGCCCGGAATAATGTCATTTGACTGCATAACTGATGAAGTCTGGACTTGGAGTCCGAATGTTTTTTTTTTCCTTCTTCTTTGCAGGATAACTTAATAATTATGACCACCTTTCATAACATAACCTCTTAAAACAGAGCAGGAATTCCAGTCAATAAAGAACCTAAATCTACATTTATATGTTTCCTGATAATAATGCTGATATAATTCTTTGGCGTTATGGGTGGGTGCTTGATAGTTTCTTATTGACAGAATCTCAAGTCTATAATACTATGATCTAAATATAGCTTGAGTCTCTCCTTCAATATAAGTCCATATGTCTAATCACTTGACAGCACACAAGAATTACATGCCATATTTCAGGGTTTAATGGCTCAAAAATTTTAATTCTGTTATCATTTACTCACCCTCATGTCGTTCCAAACCCATAAGACTAATGTTACTCTTTGAAACACAAAGGAAAATATTTTAATAATCTCTCATCACTGTGCATCCTTTAAATCAACCAAAAATGTTAATCTTGAAATAGTTCATAAAAACTACTCCAAATTAATCAAGCGGTTTAATCCAAGTCTTCACTTTATATGATGAAAAGATTTCATTTATGCTTTTATTCACATACAAACATTAATCAATGCACATCCTGTACACATAGCTCATCAAATATGGTAAACCATGCTTTCATGACACACGAGAACCAAATCAGAGAATATTAAAATGATCTTCATTTGTGTTCCAAAGATGAATTGGTTCTTATTGGTTTGGAATGACATTTTTGGGTGAACTAACCCTTTGAGGGTTTATTTAGATTCTTAACTATAAATATGAGCAATAGCAATCAACAAACACCATTAATTGAATGGTAAAAATGTATTTTAGGGACCAATTCGCTCTATTAACTAGTTGCTTATTAGCATGCCTATTACTAGCATATTGGCTGTTTATTAGAACTTATAAAGCACATATTAATGCTTTATTTCGTGTGAGCATATTCTAGATCCCTTAACTCTACCCCATACCTAAACTTAACAACTACCTTACTAACTATTAATAAGCAGCAAATTAAGAGTTTATTGAGGTAAAGGTCATAGTTAATAGTTAGTTAATAGTAAGAATTGGTCCCCAGGCTAAAGTGTGACCAAACTAATTGTGAACTAACCCTTTAAGAGTTTATTTGGTTTTCTAACCCTACATGAGCAATAGTAACAAGCAAGAACCACTAATTAAATGTACTTAATGAACCACAAAATGAAAACATTTTCCGTTTTAACTAGATGTTGCAACTTCAGGAATCAGCTTTTGTGCATCAAATATTTAACTCAACAACATTCTCTCTGACTTGCTGTGAATCGTCAGTCTTCTCTCAGGATGTCGTGTTCATTGAGTCATTCCTAATCTCTCTCCTCCCGCTCTCATTAGCAGCTCGTGTTTTGTGTGATCTTCGTTGTTTCTCGGGCCCTGCGGGACAAGCGCGACACTCATTCTGCCAGCGTTATGTTGCACTGTGGCTGTTTTCTACCTGTTAACAAACTCCTCGATGGGTATGCGGTGAGAATAGCCCTGCCGGCGGATGTTGACGGTCTCTAGGATGCCGGTGTATCGCAGCTGAACCATCACACGCTCCTTATTGACGCGCAGAGCCAGCCGCTCATCATTGGGTTTGATACAGCGGACGAAATGAGGCGTTCCCACCACCATCTTAGACAGCAGGTCCATGAGAGAGTACTACAATAGAAGACACACACACACGCACGCACGCACACCAACACACACACACGCACAAACATGCACTCACACACCCACACACACGCCCACAAACACACACACGCACACAC